TTCACCCAAATCACAATAAATAAATAAATAAATATTTTTTAAAAAAAGTTGTAATTAGAAATACCATTTGATCCAGCAATTCCATTACTAGGTGTATATCCTAAAGAAGTGAGAGCTAGGACAAGAACAGATATATGCACATCCATGTTCATCGCAGCATTATTTACAATAGTCAAAAGATGGAAACAACCTGGGTGCCCATCAACAGAAGAACGGATAACCAAACCATATAGTACATACACACAATGGAATATAATGTAGAATCTGCAAAATACCGCATAACATGGATAAACTTGGAGGGCATTATGCTGAGTGAAATATGCCAATCATAAAAGGACAAATATTGTATTAGTTCCTTATTGTAAAAAGTCAAGGAAAGATTTATATATGGAGGAAATTTTCTTTTTTGGTTACCAGGAGTTGGAGGGGCAGTGAGGGAACACTACAAAAATTAAATAATAATAATAATAAATTTTAAAAATGAAAAAAAAAAAGAAACTTTATATTTTTGAAGGTACCTGGATCCAAATGATAATAGTTGAATGTTTTGGACTTGAGGGAAGTGGGGGTTGTGTGACAAACCCACCTTAGCTCCTCTGTAGAATCTCTGGAACTTGTGGCAGTAGTTCAGAGATCCATCTGTCCTGTTACTACTCAGGACATTGCCTTGTATGTAAGTTTCCCATAACATATTTTAGATTACTTATTCAATGTGAAGTGGTCTGCCTCTTTCTTTGGTTTGTCCCAACCTTCTGCATATAGTGGCCACTTTTGGATTTCCCCCAGGGAACTCCCCCACCCATCACCACCGCCTCATAGGCGCAGAATCCCAACCTTCCCCAGGCTAACAGGAACAAGCCAGGAGACCTCCCTCTGGGAAGGTGTGGAAAGGGAAATGGATGACTGCTGTTAAGATAGGCAATCTTAAAGACTTCATTTCACAGAGATGATGTGCCTCCCTCAGACCACATTCCAAGTCCCGCCCCCAGGGACAAGGTCTTACTATGCCCACCCCTTCTCTCCCCATTCAAGGTGACCCCATGGTGGGTCAGCAGGTGCTTTGTGTTCAGCAGGGTCTTGGGCAGCCGACACAGAGCAGGCATACCTAGACCACAAGGGCGTTCTGTCCAGGTCGGGATGGAGGGACAATTGTCTATGTGTACTAGAAGCACAAGGCCAACACCAGAAGTGGACAAGAGTGTTTATTTGTGCAATTGCTAGAACCAGGTAGAGGAGTCTTAGGCTGGTGGAGAGGCCAGTTCAGCAGCTTGGCCAGAGCAGGGTGAAACCAGCACTGCTGCAGCGAAAATCCGGCTCCAGTTGATCAGGTTTGGGCTCCACAGAGATGAAGCGCCGGCCTCCACGTTGGCTCAAGGGGATGCAGTCAGAAACACGGACCTCCAGGACCCGGCCCTCCCTAAATCAGATCCAAGGATAGAGGAGAGAGATCAGAGAGAGAGCAGAGTTCCAGGTCCATCCCTGTCCCTCCTAGCCCAGGACTCACCCTTGGCAGTGTGCAGCCAGCACACCCACTAGCTCCCCAACACGGTTGTCCAGCTCTGGCTGGGTGCGGTGCAGACAGACCACCAAATCGTCCTGGCCACGGGCATGCAGCACCACCAACTGGTCCCGCCCACTTGTCACACTCACTCCAGTCACCTGGGCATAGGCACTGGTCAGGAATCTTGGGTCAGGAGTGCCAGGAGCCCCTGTGTGCCCAGTGTCCAGCCTGGATGTCCAGCCTCTATGCACCACTCCTATCCAAGCCCTGCCCACCTACCTCAGCCCTGAATCCAAGCCCATCCTCCTGCAGCACCCCTCCTGGAAAGCCTTTTGTGAGCCCCACACAACACTCCCTCTCTGAGCACCCACTGCTTCATTGTCATCATCAACCATCACCTTCCCTCTCAGGGGTTAGAGTCCACACCTAAGAGAAGAGAGGGCCAAAGCACCCACTAGTGCAATGTTTTGTGCAGAACTTTAGGATGAAGGAAAGTCACAGCAGTCACAGGTCACATGTGGCTACTGAACACTTGACATGGGTTAGTGCAACTGAATTTTAATCTTTATTTACTTTTAATTAACTTGAATTTAAATAGCTACCCATCTCGGAAGGAAGGTTGGGCAATCCTACTTCCGTAGTGATACTGCCTCGCTATGAGTCGGGGCCGACTTGACGGCACATAACAACAACAACAACAACACATGGGTAGTGACTACCATATTAGCACAGCTCTACAGACCCTTTTGACTGACAGCATAGGGATCTCTGGAACTGTGGGAACCCAAAAGTAAAGCCCTGCTTTGAGGTCCTGACCCCTGCCCTCAGATGGCTCCTGACCTGGAGAAGAGAAGACATGGCACAAGGAACTGCGATTGGAGGAGGCGAATGAGTCCACAAGAGAGGCAACCCAGACCAAAGCCATCAGCAAAGACATGACACTGCCAAAAACGCAGCTGGGCCTAGGTGTGTGCGTATGTGTTAACATGGAAGTGAGGAAAGCCTCATAGATGCAAAGAAGTGGGGAATTGGAGTAGATATAGGGAAGAGAAGGGAAGAGGAGGCTGCACTGGCATGGCTAACAGATAGGAGTATGAGTTTTCTTCTACAAGCAATAGGACATAACTGCAGGGTTTCCAAGAGAAGTGGTGTGATCCCAGCTGAATTTTAGAAACTAACTACTCTCCAGCATCTGCCATCACAGGTGCTATGCCCCAGCCCAGCCCCAGTCCCTGCTCTGCTCACCCTTCTTGGCCACTGTGGCTTACCGCCTGGAGAGGCACAGCCCGCATCACCCGGTACTGCCTGCCTGGCTCCAGTTTGTACAAGTACTGGTCTGTGAGCAGGAGTGCCCTGTCCCGGCACTTATGGAAGCGATTCACCTGCAGGAGAGATGGTGGGATGCAGCTGTCACTGCTAGACTTGGCTAGGACCTAACCAGAGTACAGTTAGAGGGCTACAGCCTTAAATAAGGAATCATATCTGGGCCTTGCTGCCTCCTCTCGCTGACTGGCTTCCTCTTGGGTGGTTTCTAAGGTTTCAGGAGCAGCTATGGAGCTCCTGGGCTGAATTCTGGACTGAGATCCTCCTGGGCCTCCCCCATGCCCACCATTCTTCCCACACTAGCTTCTAACCTTGCGGACATGGCTAGAAAAGAGTACAGCCCCAAAACCATCCTTCTGTCGGAGAGTCTGCAACCGCTGAGTGAAGAGGCCCGAGGCTGTGGGATTATCGGTGGCCTGAGGACAGATGGGTAGGAAAGGGGTGCACTGCTTGGGCTTAGAATCAAGACAAAAAGAGTCTGCCTCTATCAACCATGCTCATAGAATGTGACTCATGACTCACTGGCCACATGCCCTTCAACTTAGGAAACCAAGGGTGACTGGGAACCATGCTTTGCCAGACCCTGAAATGAAGACACAGACCCTGTTGAGCTCTGGAAGTCTGGGCACCAAAGATCTGGGTCCTTCTCTCTTTTCCTTCACCTTCCATGCTCCCACCACCACCCAGCAGCTGCACCTAAAGCCCAGGACTAAGCAGTATGTAGCTGGGGACAGTGCTGGATATGAAGGCAGAGACCAAGGTACCACATCTGCACCTCCAGCACACATGCAGAAAGGACCAGGATAACCAATTCAGTTTGAGGACTAAAGGTAGTGATGGGGTAAGGCCTGGCCAGGGTGGGTGGGGCACAGCTGGATATGAAGGCTCAATAAAGCCCTTCTTCAGGTGTGTGTGGGGTGGGGGTGTGGAACTAGTCAGGGTGGCAGGATCAAGATGATCAGATGACCTGGGGAGTAGACAGGTGAGTTGCCAGAAGACATACTCTTGGCCAGCAAGCCCAAGCCTCACAGCACCCTGATCTCACTCATATACTCACTGAGGACAGGTAGTCACGGACCCAGGCCCTCTGACAGCCCCAGTCCTGGCGCAGTCCCTGCAATAACCCCATGGCAGCTACCTTGGCCTTGATCTGGGCCATGTCTGAAGGGGGAATGTTCTTCACCAGCTGCTTGGCCCGCCACCTGGGAGAGAGAGACAGAGGACCCCAAGCTGTCGCCTCCCCATCCCACCTTTTCCACCTTAGTCCTGTGTCCAGAGCACACTGCACTTCTGTGCCCAGAGCCTTCCACCACCCCCTTATACACAGAGGGAGTCCCCTGCAGCCTCTTCGGTCTCAGCCCTACATGCCCTGAAACCCATGTTAAGATCTCCCAGCCCCCAACCACACACCTCTAAGCACTATTCTCTCTGTGCTCCTCTACCTGGAGAACTACTCAGCCCTCAAAGACCTGCTAAAGTACATTTTCTCCACTAGCCACCCTCCCTTACAGTAGGCAGCCCTCAAACCCCTGCGAAGGGAAGGAGGCCTGCACTCACCTCCAAATCCCCAAGGAATCTAAAGGCATTGGGGCACTGGGCAGCAGTGTTCTCACTTGTAAGTGAGCTAGCTGGGTGTACTTAGCATATCACTCTGAGGGTGCGATGACGGGGGTGGGGGGATGTAAAGATATTCAGGAAAGAGGAAAGAGCACATGTGGGCAAGAAAGCACAACCCAGCCTGGTGGTACCTGAAGAAAAGTACTTGGCAGGTGTCCTGGAATGGCTGCAGCACTGCTGGTGCCAGTGGCCAGGTGAGGTCACGGCCAAAGAGTGGTGGCTGCCGCACAGCCTGGAAACGCTGCTGCAGCTCTGCCAGGTGAGTGCGCACCTTGTGCCGCCGGAACCATCCCATGATGGCGTAGACAGCCCTCAGGCGCCGGCAGTGCTGCCGGGCTAGGGTGCCCCGCCACGCCTGAGAAAGCGGAGCTCAAGTTAGTCCCTGCAGGACTGAACTTCCCCAGGGGGTTTCCTGGTTCCCCTGATGAAATGTCCTCTGTTTCCCCCTTTCCCAAGAACACCCTCACTTATTTCATTTCCACTAGCTGCTGCAGCGGGGCCAGTTCCTGGTTTCCTGGTGCCACATTCCGTGCCCCCTCCAGATTGGCCAGTGGATGGACACACAGCTCAGCAGCCTCCTGATCTTCTTAAGCTAGGACCACATAGGCCACAGGCCACCCAGGGAGAACATGCCATGAGAACAGAGCAAGAGGCAGGTGGAGTTGTTTTACCCATGAGAGGCAAATGCCAACAAGTGAACCTTGATACCCATTTAGATCTAACTACCCACCCCAGGAGACCACAAGCCAGAGGAACATGGCACAACCACAGGGCTGCTACCCTCAAAAACCAGACTGCGAAATGGACCAGGCAGACAGCCCGGGGGAACCTAGAGATGGAAAAAGACAATATCACAGTCAACTGCAGTGTATACCATCATTAGGATCCTGATGTGAATCAACTGAAAAACAGTTATGAAACAGTTGGAGAAGTTTGAATACTGAGTGGATATTGGTTGACAATAACCAATCAGTTAACTTTTTAATCTATGATAATGGTATTATATTAAAATAATCTCTGTATATTAGAGGAGATAAAGGAGGTAACTAAATGCAATGTGTGATCATTGACTGGATTCTGGATTTTAAAAGTTGCAATGGATAATATTGAGACAATTGGGGAAATTTGAATGTGGCTTATATTATATATTCAGTTATATAAATAATTGTTTTATCAGTTTTAAATTTCTTGAATGTGCTGATGTTATTGTGATTATAAAGGATGATGTTCTTGTTCTTAGGATACGTCTGCTGAAGTACTTAGGAGTGTCTTGGTGTATGCCACTTAGTATGGTTCAGGAAAAAAAATATCAATATATGTGTCTGTAGAGGGAAACAAAGTGCATTTGTAAGAATACAAGTGAATAGAACATACGTATTCATCATAATCTTATTCTTTCAAATTTTCTTTAGGCTTGAAATTTTTCAAAATAAAAAGTTATAGGGGGAGGAGGATGAAACTTATCCTTTGGAAATACATACTGCAATGATTATGGACGAGATGATTTGCTTAAAATTCATAGGTACATACACAAATCATGCCAGCCAGAAGCAATGCTGTTGAAATTAAGGATGTTGGCTCAGTAAACTATTCTCCATACCTTTCCCTGGGTATGAAACTCTCCAAATAAATAGTTAGAAGGAAAGAAAGGAAGGGAGGAAATAAATCAGAAAGAGAGGGAAGGAAGGTAGAAGCAAGTTGGATTCCTGAAAACTTTGTTTTGAGCAATTGAACCCTGCCAAGCCTGAGGCTGGTAGCCAACAGGACTTTGTAGTCACCTGAACTTTACCCAAACTTTGGCCTAAGTCAGTTGGAACTATGGTTTTGTCTCTCACAACCATAGGGATACCTGCAGTATCTCCTGGCCCTGGGTGGCCCATGTCCTGCTGCCCTCACCTTCTGTAGCAGGAGCACAATGATGGGGATGAGTCGGGCCCGGCTCTGTTCCAGGATGACCAGGGTATGGGGTGAGCGGATGAACAGCTTACTGTGGCCAAAAGCCACATCCCCCTGCAGCCCGTGCTGCTCTAGGAGGGCGCTCACAGCTGCCCTGTCTGAGCCCAGCAGGTGGTTGGGCCAAGTGTATTCACAGGTCATCTTGTATCTGTCACCACATAGACAAGGGACAGTGAGAGACCAGCCCTCAGAAAGGAGGGCATGGAGACTTCTGTCTGCATACATCTCTAGCAAAAACCAACAGTGTCTGAGGTCACTAGCCACGGGGTATTGACTGCACTGAAATCTGAGAAGCACTGCCATAGAGACCATCTGGACCTATGCTTCAGATTCCAAATGGAGCATGGCCCTCAGAGGCAAAATCAAGACACCCAGGGCCTAGGGCCTCCACACACTTAGAAGGCACCAGGGAATGGAATAGGCATAGGGCAGAGGGGTAGTACCTGAGCAGGAATCGGGGGTAGGGCTGACGAGATGCAAAGCCAGCCCTGCGGACCCTCACATTCTCCAGTAGCCCGAGGTATGCAACTTGGTGGCGGCAATGGCCCTCATCCAGCCTCCCAGCCAGTTTGTCCTCATTGGGCTTGATGCACCGCACGTAGTAAGGCTCCTCCAGCACATGGCCAAATACAGAGGGAACTTGACACAGGGCCCAGGGAAGAGCACCCAGCTCATGCTCTGCCCTGCCCTGACCCCACTACAGCTCCCATGGGGTAGGGTGAGTTAATTTCACAGCGCAAGACTGCAAAGCTGGGAACTCAGATGACCCCCTGCAGTCTAGTATCATGCTGCCTCCAGTGCCAGTAGAGTGGTGGCTTGCCAATGGCTGGGAGATGAGGAGGGGGGTAAGGAGCAGCTCACACAGGGTGGGTGTGGGGTGGGAGTAGTGATAATTAGTAGGCAAAAGGGCTGAGGTCAGGAGGGGAGATGGGGGCAAAGGAGATCACACATAGAACAGGGCCACTGGAGGGGCATTCAGCAAACTGGAGAGGCAGCCAGAAGACAGGAGGAGCCATGAGCAGGGTAAATGGGTAATGTCTCCACAACCAGCTCTACCTGTTACACACAGAGGGGCTCAAGGGACCTGGATGGCTGCTTTGTGGTCTAACTCAGCTCTGCTATGAGGCCCAGCCCCCAACTCTGGCTTTGGGCATGAAGCTCCCAAAACAGGAAGTTCCTGCCAGTTTACTATTTCTGGTGGCTCTTGGCAGGTGTGGGGCAACTAGAGGAGGGTCTCCTCCAGCCCTTCCCCACCCAAGAGGCAATGGGGCCAGGAAAAGACCAGGGTTCTAATGCCAGCTTTGCTCTTTACTTTTTATAAGGTGAATCACATGGAACCCAGTCTAGTCCTGAACCTGGACATCTGAGCCTGTGCAGGCATCTGGAGTAGGGGTGGTATACTAAAAAGGTTCAGTCTGTGCAGAGGCAGTAGGAGTCTCACAGAGAAGGATCTAGGGTAGGGGCTAAGTGTCCATACCTTGGAGGCCAGATTTTCCACCAAGGCTACCATGGAGTTCTTAAAGAGTGTGCCAGCTGTCAGGGGACGTTTAGTCACCTCTGTGATGTCCTGTTGTCCATCTGGCCACATGGCCTGTAGGATAGGGTCTGTGCTGCAGACACAGATTGAGTATCAACTCTTCTAGGAGAGCAGCCATCTCCACCACCCTGCCATTCATGTGTTGCACAGTCATGAGATTTCAGCCCATCTCTCCACCCACAAAATGGGAGAGTCAGACCCCACAGCCTTGGAAGGCTCTTCCAGATCCAAGCCTCTGTGAGTCTATGAATGCTCTCCCTCAGGCACTTACCTGTTGTATAGCAGCCGCTTGAAGTCCTGAAAGAGGAAATCTCGGTTCTTGTCAATGAAGCCCTCCACAGAGTACCTACAGAGAGCCAGAGTCAGTGAAAGGAGGAAGGAGTTAGGCTGCCTGGCACAGGTGCAGTGGGCACAGGGTGAGATGGCTAGGCAGGCAGATGGGCCATGGGCCACTCACAGCACTGATACATCTCCCTCTTCCTACCCACCTCTCGTTCTCATGGATCAGTCTCTCTCCCTGCTGCCATGTGTTCTCTGTATTAGTGTCTTTCTTCCTCTCCCTTAGGTTCTTCTCTCCTCTCTCTCTTTCACACTTACCTCCTCTCTCATAACTTAAGACTCTCTCAGGAGAAGTTTCTCTCCTAGGAGATGAATAGAGCAGTTTAACAGGGCTCTGGAACCAAATATCCTAGCACTGAACCCTAGCGCTGCCACTTACATGCTGTGTGAACTTGGACAAATTATTTAACCTCTCTGTGCCTCAATTAGTACATCAAATGCTCAGAACAGCACCTATTGAGTTTCAATAAATATCAGTGATGACAATGATACCAGGAACTCCTGAGTCACTGTCTATTTTAATCTTTTGGAACTAAGAACTTTGAAAGCATGGTTTCATCCTTCACTTTGCCTGCTAGAAAGCTCAGAGTCAACATTTTGGCTCCACCTCCACACCTGTAAATACTTAAGGCATGGATTTTGTGAAGAGATCTGACTTCTGGATGTTTCATCATTATCATCTACTCTATTTCTCATTCTTGTAAAGGACATATTAGACACATGTACCTCTCTATGAGTCATCAGAGATCCTCTTTAGAGTGAAGGAAAAATAGGTAAATTAATAATGACAGCAGAATCAGAAGGATACTCTGGGCTTCAGAGTGTGATATGTGGACCAGTAGTGCTGGCCTCACTTAGGAGCTTGTTAGAAATCCCCTCGTCCACCTCACTGACTTGCATTTAACAGGGTGGTTCCAGTGCACATTAGTTTGGTAAGCTCTGCTCCCAGATTGGAGCAATAGCATCAACATCTGGCTGTCCTCTAAAATACACACAGATGCTGATTCAGTTCATATGGGTGGGACTTGGATATGGGCACTCTTTAAAAGCTCCCAGAAGATTCTATTATGCAGCCAGGGCTGGAAACTTCTACCTTAAAATTCCTATTTCATATTCTTAACTAGCAAATCTGGTGAAGGGCATGTTTTCAGTTTCTTAAAAAAAAAAAAGAAACCTGGAACTGAACCCACTCCCAGAGATCACCTTTCAGCCAAATAATAGACAAGCCTATAAAGTGAATGATAACACCCATGAGGAAAGTGCTCCTCAAAACAATCAACCATATGAGACCAAAAGGGCAGCATTTGCCCAAAAACAAAGTTCAGAAAGCATGAGGAAAGATGGGTGAATGGAAATGGGGAACCCAGGGAAGAAGTGGGAAGAGTGATATTACATGAGGAAATTACAACTAATGCCATGAAACAAAATCTGTATCGATTGTTGAATGGGAAGCAATTTGCTCCGTAAACTTCTACCCAAGTCATAAATAAAATATTCAACACACACATACACACACACAATGACAGGTCAATAATTCCCTATCAGAGATCCCAGGAAAATATGTCAGATGTCCTTTCTAGAAGTCAGTCCAAAAAAGTATAAAAAGGGAACAGAGAATGGTAAATTAAGTCACATTTCACTTCTGCACAGTGGAAAGGGTGCCTGTGCGGGACTCAGGGACTGAGGCAAGGTAGAAGGCCCTTACGTGACATTCCCCGCATAGTGCTTGATTCGGAAGTCTCGGCCAAACTCCATGCTCTTGTCTGTGGGGCAGAGCTGTGGGGACAGGACTGAGATTAAACATAAAAATTGTAGCAGGAGTTTGGAGGTGGGCACAGGAGACCATCACATTGACCGACAAGGCCCCACCAAGACCCAAACATCACAAAAGCTGTACCCACCCAGGAAACTGCACTTGGGCTGGGACAAGCAGAGGTATAACTGAGAGGTAGCCAGGAAAGGGGGTTCTGCTTGGTGAGCAAGAGGTTATCCTGCCTTTGAGGGTCCTGCTGCTCCATCAACCAGGGAGAGGTGGGAGTGGGTACCTGTCGGCTGGTATAGTGTGGGTGATGCCGATGGTGGGTGTCCAAAGTCTGCAGGAAGATCCGGTCGGTGATGGTACCCGCAGTGCTGCATGCCTCATCGAGCACAGCCAGGATGCCTCGGAGGGGCTGTTCCACCAGCTCCACAATGGCTGTATTGTTGAAGTAGTCAATCTGGAGGGCAGTGGGGCAAGCAGTGGAGGGCCTCAGAGAAGCTAGTCTCTCTCCACTCATCCCTCCAGCCACTCTGTTCCAGCACTGTCTGTGCCCACTGCATGCCCTTGCATAGTGTTCACTCCTTGCCAGGCCACCAAGAACCAGCCCACAGGCTGCTGACTATAGGAAGTCAAATGCCTCTCCTTCTTTTGCAAAGATCATCCCATGATCTGTCCTTTCTAACCTGTGTGCTACACTCTACCCTCCAGGGCCTAGAGAGGGCAGATGTCCCATGCTTTGTGCCTCTATGTTTGGTGGGTGATCCATGCCCCAGTGCACTCACACTCTGCCAGGCAATGCCTTCATGCTGGTACTCTTCCTGCTCCTGCTTCAGGATAAGCTGGATGAACAGCTGCTGGAGCTTCTCATTGCAGTAGTTGATGCAGAACTGCTCGAAGCTGGGGGTGAGGTGGGACTTTCAGAATCCTTAGCTTCAGTCCTTCCAAGGGCCTTTTACTCCTGTGTGGATTTCCTTCCCCAAAACATCTCCCTGCAACTATCCAAGGGATCAGGTGCTGAGACCCCCCCAGTAGGCCTCATCCTGCCTCTAGCACTCACTCTGGAGTGGATTTGGAGCCTGCAGGGGAATTGGACCCTGAAACTTAGCCATCTTGGGCTGTCTGCAGCCATCCCACCATCAGGAAAAAGGCACAGGGTGTCATTGGGTAGTGGCACTGTGGAAGCAGGCTTAGAGGGTGCTATAGCTCTAGGCCAGAGACCCATCAGGGGAAAAGCCAGATGTCCTATTTCCCAACCAAGCTCTCTTGGAAGCAAAACAGAAAGGGAAGCTCAAACTCATGAGAATTTGGGGTCAGAAGTAGGATGTGGTTGACAGGGCCACCTGTTGACAGGGAACACCTCGAAGCCATAGATGTCCAGCACACCAATGACTGTGTCCTTGCCATCACGCCGAGGGTCCCGGCCTCGGGCTTCCATGACACTGTTAATCCTGCTCACGATCCACTCAAACAGCCGCTGGTATATCGCCTGGGGGGTGGGGGGGGGTGGAGGCTGCTGCTTGTTCCTCTGGCCTTCAAGAAGGCCTCCAGAATTCCCTTCCTACTTCCTGCCCCCAGATACCTTGGCACAGGCATCCCGGGCATAGCAGGCTTCAGCTGTGGAGTGGCCCTTCTCAATGAGGTCCCTGCCCCCTGAGGCCACCGTTCGAGCCAGCAGGGAGCGGAGCACCAGGTCCCGGGGTGTGGCCGTCAGTTCAGCCACATGATCCACCAGCACCTCCTCGGCCACCACTAGGCTCCCCTTCTCTGGCCCCTCTTCCTGTGTCTCCACAAACTCAATGTTTCCCTGATAATGGAGGAACCATAAACAGAATAGTACCCTACCCCTGTGGGTGGAAGAGGAAGAGAAAGCAGGGGAGATCAAAGGGGTAGATCTATGGCTTCTGCTTGGACCAGTGTGGTCAGCTAGCCCTGGTGAACCACAGCCACCATCAGAAATGTGTTTGGGGTTGGTAAGGGGGGTGGGGAAGGTGAATAGGGGCACATCAGAGCATTCACAAGGCTTTGTGTCAAAAACATTATGCAAATGGGACATTGATTCCCCCAGCTTCTGGAGGAAGTCTGTTTCAGAGGGAACTGGGGCTCAGAGAAGCCAAGTTACCCACCCAAAGAAGCCACACACTATGTAAAGGACAGAACTGAATATGTATCTGCATGGTGCTCTAGCTATGACCATCCTCAGGCCACACCTGCATCTTAAGCAATGGTTATCCACCAGACATGATTAAGTGTGCACAGTTCTGACCTGGTCCAGGTTCTAGGGTGTTCCAGGTTCTAAACTCACATACTGGCCTCATGTGAGCCTCTAGCTGAAGCAAGGAGCTCAGTGAGGGAGAGAAGCTTGGCAAAATCTCTGGGAATCCTAAACTAGTCCCTTCCCCTCTCTGGGCAACTACCAGAGAGGAACCCCAGGTGGTAGGTGGTCAGCTCTCGACCTGCTCAGGCTCACCAGGTGCAATATGGCAGCTAAGATCCGGTGAATAGATGCCATCTCCTGAGAACTGAAGCCAATTACCCTCATGGCCTGGGTCACCACCTGGTGGCTCCTCTCATCTCTGTCCAAGGCCTGGGGGAGAAAGGGATAACAACCCTAGGGCCAGGCTGAGCCCTGTGTCCACCACCCAGGACCACACTGAATGCACTACGCTCTGCTCCCTCCACCATGATGCTGGCTTGGGTCCAGGACATGACTACACACACTGAGTCCAGGTATATGCTGGGCCTGAGCTCTTGATGCCAAGTGCTGGCCTGTGGCTGTGCACCCACTCACATTGAGCTCTGCTCCCTGGCGGGTAAAAGTGTACAGGGCAGGATTTCGCTGTAAGTGCAGCTCTTGAAGCAACTCCTCCTCACTCCCCCATAGCATCTGAAGGAAACAGAGGCCACATAGTTAGGTGTCTGTTCCCTGGAAACCATTACATACACAGAGAAACAGAAGCAGAAGTGAGCAAGCTGCTCTTCATGTCACCACTGACCCAGCAGACACTTGGTTTCTTGAGACTTGGCCTCTGTCTTCAGGGTGCTCACACTTCATTTAGGACTATGATTCTCAGTGTCAGCAGCAAAGGAGTAGAGCACACCCCTAGCTAGGAAGACTCTTCCTGAGGGCACCGAGGGTACTAAGGAGCGTGAGTAATTTTAATGAGGGGAGTGAGATGACTAGATAGATGAGTATTTTGTTTTGGTTTTGGGTGGGGTGTGTCACTGGAGGCAGAATCAAAGTGTGGGAGCAGGGAGACCTGTGAGGGCACTGCAGTATTCTGGGTATGAGGCAACCTGGTCTTGTAGTTCAGAATCACACCCCTTAACTTAGTGCATTGGTGTTGCCATAAAACTAAAACCAAACTCACTGCTGCGGAGTCAGATCCAACTCATAGCGACCCCTCCTTGATTTCTGAGGCGGTATCACTACGGAAGTAGATTGCCCAATCTTCCTTCTGAGGAGTGGCTGGTGGGTTTGAACCTCCAGCGTCCTGGTTAGCAGTCAAATGTCTTAGGCACTATATCACCAGATATGTGTTGTATATCCAGATACAAAATAATGTTAAAAGGCATTCGTGGGACAGCTGGGGAATTTTAAACATGGATTGATATTATAGAATTACTGTTAGATTTTCTTCAGTGTGATAGAGATATTTTGTTTATGGAGGAGAAGGAGCTTATTCTTATCTTAGGAGCTAAATACTGGCTTGTTTAAGGTTTAAATTAGGTTCAAGGTTTAAAATCGTTCAACGGCAGGAGCAACAATGGATATATACAGAGATAAAAACCAAACCAAACTCACTGCCATCAAGTCAGATCCAACTTACAGCAATCCCTCCTTGGGATTCCAAGGCAGTATCACTACAGAAGTAGATTGCCCAATCTTCCCTCAGAGGAGTGGCTGGTGGGTTTGAACCACCAGCCTCCTGATTAGCAGCCAAATGTCTTAGGTACTACACCAACAGAGCTCCCATATATAGAGATAGCTGAAGCAAATATGGCAAACATTACAAGGTTAGGATAGAGGGTATATGGGTGCACATTGTACTGATTCTTTTCACTTTTTCATAGTAAAAAGTTTGTATAAAAATTGTCTGTAACACTTTTTATATAGTAGAGTTCACTCCACTACCCTAGACTCTGAACATTATCATGACTTCTGCCTCTCACACTTGGTCATTGGTCCCAGATCTGTCCCTGGAGTTTCTGCCTTGCCTTTCTCCATCTACCAAAAAAAAAAAAAAAAAACCAAACCAAATCCACTGTCATCTAGAAGATTACAAATAATAGTGTCCCCCACTGGGTTTACAAGGCTACAAATCTTTATGGAAGTAGATTGCTTCATCTTCCTCCTGAGGAGCAGCTGGTGGGTTTGAACTTCCAACCTGTGGTTAACAGCCAAATGCTTTACCCACTACACCACCAGAGCTCCTTTGTCCCCCAACAGTCCCTACTATATTTCAGAGTGGTCCTTTCAAGCATAACTCAGATCATGTCCTCGCCTGCACAAAGGGTGAAGGTCAAGTGCTCACAGTGCCCTGTGCTGCTCAGGAGCTGGAGCTCCGCTTCTATTGCTCTTCTTCTACAACTGCGTCTGACTCCAAAGCTATCTTCTAGGGGACTACCCCTCCCTGTGTTCCACTGTTGGTTTCTGTCTCTACTCTGGCTTTTTTCTACAGTGCTTCTTATACCTTCTTGGGGGCTTTATATTTACTTATCTACTCATCTGCGATTGTCCCACTCTTCCCCTGCTAGACCACCAAGAGGGGATTTGCATTATTCTCATTGTAGTACGTCCAGGGCCGCGAATGGCTAGATTTGGATACAGTTGTCTGAGGGGCAAAGGTGCAAGGTAAGGTCAAAAGGTGGACCCGCACCCACAAATGCCCTCCATCACTCGTGAAACTAATCTTCTGAGTGAAAGTGCACGTTGCTAGTGAATCCGGTGCCTCAGGGTAGGACATGAAACAACTGTGCTCTGAAGGCACTCTCCCACAAAGCCGCTTGCCAGCGTAATCACAGTGAACCACAGTCTAGGATGGGATGCGGGGCAGCGCGACAGGTGGAAAGCTGATCAGGGAGTAGAGCAGGGCGTGAGTGGTGCCATGGGCGAGAGGTGAGCAGTTCTGTAGGCTCTGTGGGGCAGGGCGAGCACTCCACCTTCCCTATGCCCCTTACCTGGTAGAAAGAGTGGAAGTTCCTTTCGCCCACGTGCTGCCTGAGGACTCGAGACTGAGAAAAGAGGAAGAGCGGGTATCTGTTTCTCCAAAGCCTGCCCAATGAACCCACTGAGCACCCCTCAGTAGCAGCAGTGCAAAGGGATCAGACCTCAGTCCCAGACTTTCATGCCAGGCCTCTGAGATCCTGAGGCCCAGAGAAGGAAGTAGCCTGGCCTGTGTCATAGAGACTGCCTGGCCCTCTGAACTTCCAACAGGAAGAGACAGTATCTTCCTAGCCCCTAATTGGCCCTTCTACACCAGCAAAAGGCCCAGACAGTGCCTGTCAGGGTCTCCTCCTAGGGGCTGGGGAGGGTGGGGAATGGGACACAGGGACTCCTCAGCCCACATGCCCAGGATCTGCAAAAGTCAGGCCCACCTTCTCCAGGAGGTAGCTGTGGATGTGACCCCCAATGGGGTCTCCCTTAAAGTCGAAAAGAATGTCCATGTATTTGCCAAAGCGGCTAGAGTTGTGGTTGTGGTTGGTGTAAGCGTTGCCAAAGGCCTCCAGTATGCAGGTGGAATTGAGCAGCACGTCCTTGACCCTTTGTGTGAGCAAAAGGGGGCTATTGTCAGGACAGTAGATACAGAGACTATCCCATAAAGTCCTCATTTCAGGGGAACGGTGTATATCTAGACCAGTGTTGTCCCCTCCTCCCCACGCACATACACACCTTCCCTACTGCCCCACACCTTGAAATCTTCGCCACAAAAATCATAAAGTCTCAGGATTGGGTTGAGAGACAGCTAACTTAAAGGGAGCCACAGTCCAGCACTGCTCCCTTGGTCACCTTACTTCTAGATTCTGTGAAACTGAGCTTTATATGCCAGTGCTGGGGAGCTTGTAGTGAGAGACTATTTCCAAAGACTTTGCTTATAAATGGTGTTCAGTAAATGCTGGATTTTTTTTTCTTATGGTGACCTCCTCCCTCTTTCCAAACCTCAATTGCACCTACCTGTCAGCACCTGAACCACTTACCATTGACTTCCAGTTACAGAGGCACAGCATCTGCTCCAGCATCACCTCTCCTCACCTCCACTCTAAACAGGAGGAGACTGAGGTGCCTGCCCAACAGAGGAATCTGCTTTTGCCAAGTTCCTCAAGTGGGAGTGTCAAGGGAACTCTGCCGCAGTCCAGATACCCTGCCTGGCATTCTTAGTCTCTCCTGACCAGGACCTGGCCAGCTTCTCCAGTCTTTCTTCAGTCCTACCAGTGCCACTCCCACTGCTCTGCAAAGCCACTTTTCTGCCGTTTCTTCACAATTCTCCTCCATCCATCTATCTACTTTCTCTATCTGGTGCTGCCCCTTCTGTGTCTCATTCCCTTCAATTGTGATCTAGCCATGTCTCACCTCTGTCATTCCCTTGAGGGACACCCCATTGGCCTCATGTTAAGGAGGGATTGTTGGCTGAGTGGGACTCAAGCATTGATTTCTTGCTCAGCAGTCATAAGTTCCAGTTCTAATGCACAAGCCCAATCCACCCTCAGCATGTTCCCACCCTCCTACCTCTCACCTCTCCACCTCCACCCTCTGGCTTGGGTTGGTGACGGCTGCGATGTACTGCATGATATACTTGCTAGCTTCTGTCTTGCCTGCCCCACTCTCCCCTGCCAGCAGATGGAAAGATGGAAAAATCAGTGAGCCTGCTACTACCAGGCTGGGCCCACCAGCCAAAGCTCCTTAGATCAGCTTCTTGCCCCCTCCCTTAGCACTCTAGCACTGGAATTACAAGAGTCTTGAATTCCCCCCAATCCCATCTCATAATCTACAAATGAGAACACTGAGGCTCAGAGAGTTACAGAGAGCGTGAGCTGGGCTGGGCCTGGGATTGTGTCTGCCTCACCTGAGATAACGATGCAGGTGTCCCTAGACCGGCGCTTCATGGCTTTGTAGGCAGCATTGGCTACAGCATAGAGATGGGGTGGTCGCTCATAGAGCTCACGACCCTGGTACTGGTTGATGGTCTCAGGCCCATACAGTGGCAGCTCTTGATAGGGGTTCACAGACACCAGTACCTCACCAATATAGGTGTAGATGTGGCCCTTCTCAAACCTGGGGACAAGGTAGGGTCAGTCCTCAGCACTCATGATGCCCACAGGTGACAGGCAGGCCTCTTGCCCACAACCCTATCTCAAGGCTAAGTCCTGTAGTATTTGGCTTGTGTGGGTAGAGGTGTCATGCCCCCACAGCAGGACCCTGATCCCTAGTCCATCTTACTCTTGGGATGAACTGGGACCAAGGTGCTGGGAGGGAAGGGTAAAGGGAGATCCTAGAAAAACATTGCTGATAAGCTGAGTCAGGGCCCCTGGGCAGACAGGAGTCCTGACCACCAATCTTTTGGAGAAGGGAACTACCCAGAAGTAGGAACTGGCTTGTGTGAACTGAGCCAGAACTGATGAAAAGTACAGGTCTGGCTCTCCCAAGGTAGATCTCAGGAGGGCAGAGGGTTGATGGGTGAGGGTAGATGGGGATCAACCCAGTGCCCCAAGGAAGAAAGAGGTAGGATGTATATGGTAAGAATGCACCTCAGGCTGTTTCCCATCTTGAAGGAGAAGCTGAGGGAAGCCTAGGTCAGCCCCACACAGATGATACTAGGGATAGGGCCCAGACAAGGGACCAAGCAATAGCCCTCAGTCCTCTGGTACCTTCTCAACTTCTCTTCCCCCTACTTTTCAAACTTCCTAACTCTTCTATTTACAACCCAGGGCCTGTGTCAGGCTTGTCTGCAGCTTTCTCTTAGAAACCTTCCTGTCCTAGGGAGATGAGTGACCCAGGCGGCTCCTTGACTTGGGCTCTCCCTGAAGCCCTCACTCTCCACCCACTGTGCTTCAAGTGTCCACAGGCTTCTCTATGTGTCTCACCTCAACATCAGGAGACCTGCTGTTCACAAGTCATTTTCTTGTCATTGTCTCATAAGCCAGTTTTCATAAGAATTAAATGAAATCATGTATATAAAGTGCTTAGTTCTGTCCTGACACAAGACAGAGGCAAAGAGGTTTTTCCGTCCACCTGTCTCTTTATCCCTGCAGCCAGGCCTCATGCACACATCACCTCTCCACCTGCTGTCTCAGTTCATGCTCCTGCCTGCCCTGCCTCCACCCTCTGTGGCAGACTCGTACTCATCCTTCCAATCCCACTTCAAACATTACTTCATCTAAGAGCTGCTTGTTGACTCTGTCCTCTCCTCAAACATCACTAGGTACCTTCCTGAGAACAGTAACCTCATCCCATTTACTCCACTCCTAAGATAAAGCTATCAGGTCAAGAGTGGGAAGAAAGGAGGGGACTGAATGGAAAGCAGCAGTCTCAGCCAAGGGGTAGATTTCTGGACTCCTGTGGAGTGCCTGGTACCTGTCTGTCTATAGTGGAGTCATGATCAAGGCCTGTCAGGCAGGACAGCATGTGCTGGCAGAAAGGTGAAAGGCATCTGTCATGTCTGGGTGGCATCCACTGCTTATTAATTTTAAAAAAAATTAAAAAGTCTGGAGAAAGGATGAAGTTAGCTGTGCTGGGAGCTGAGTTGGGTCCTGATGTGGAGCCTGGTCCAGCCCTGACTAGCTATGAGAAGGACAGTCACTCTCCTTGATGCAGCATACACTGTCGTGGTCTGCCTGCCTCACAGGTCCCTTAGAAAACTGTGAGTGGGCTTGAAGAGTCTGGTCCAGCCTGGAGTGAGTTGGAAGTATGTGTAGCTCCTGCCTCACTCTTTCATCTGCTGAGTATACCAGTATGATCTCCTTCCACCACCACCCTCAACCCCAGGCTCTGGGCAAGGACGAAGGAGTAGGGAACCCACCCTGGGCTGAATCTACCTGAGCTTCAGGTTCGTCATGAAGTCTTCCATGGTCACTTCATCCAAAAGCACGAAGTCAGGTTTGCCATACTCAGAGCCCTTATCATCTTCCATCCAGCCGGTAGGAGCACCCAAATCAGGTCGTCCCTATCTTTCTGGACCAGGCTAGCAGGAAGGGTCCCACCCTGCCTACCGGTTATTCACTCACTCTCTGCCTCGCCAGCAGAGTGTGAAACAGGAAGTGGGTTCTAGCCCTCAGGAAGGGCTGCCCTCCCCACTTCTCACTCATTCCCCCACTGAAAGTGCTCTGCTCTCTGCTTCCTGGTTCCTGCCTAAGAGGGAGGGTGTGCCTAACGGTTTCCTCTATTTGCATGCCAAGGCTGAGGAGCCAGATACTTGGGTCCTCCCCACATGGTCTGCTGCCTGCTATGCAAGTTCCTGTCTGAAAGTGGTTTCTCTAATTCCACCCTGCCCCACCCCAAGCAGTAGACAAGACTCGGTGGGTCTAACCCTGGAGGCCTATTAGAATCATTTACCGAACTTTTTAAAAAAATAACTTGTGGTATTGGTTACACAGTTGTATGTCAGAACTCACTGAGCTGAGCACCAGATGAATGTTACTATATGTAAATAGTACCTTAATTTTTAAAAATGAAAAACAAAAAAACATTGATACCCAGGCACACTCTTCAGATTTGATTGATTTGAGGTAGTCCAGCAGGCTACATTGGGATACTAATGACAAAAGTAGCTCCATGTCCAACCCTTTGAATCTGCCATGATGCAATTTCCCATATCAGGGACCTGAGTGTCCCTTTGACACCATGCTATCCTGACTGCCAGCCAGGGCCTCTGGGATTCTGTTTCCTAGAAATCTCCTAAGTCAGAGGTCAGAGCAGAGGCCTAGACAGTGTTCTCTGGGTACATTTTGCCACCCTCTTGATTCACCATCCATCAGATCTGCTCCATCTCCAGAGACTGGGCAAAGTGTAAGGCACTCCTATCATCTCATATTAATGCATACCATACTCATTGCCATGTGCTGTTACTCTCACCTTGTGGATGAAGTTTCTGAAGCCCAGAGTAGCCATGGAGTTCACCCAAGAAATCTGCTTAGAGAAGCACACTTGGAAAGAAGGGAGACCAGCTACTAGGCTTGAATACAAAAAGCAATGCTTCTCTAACTCCCCTCTCACCGTTGCACAGGCTATCCCCTCCCTCCTTCATTTGAAATTTTGGTCATGCTTATGCCAGTTTGACAATTATCATTAAACCAACTCATTTTTTAAACTTATCTTTGAAAAATAATTGATATGTAAGTTAAGGTTTTTTTTTTTTTCTTCAGTACCTCAAAATAAATGTTGTTGTTTTGTGCCATTGAGTCAGAGCTGACTCATAGCGACCCTTCCTTGGATTTCCGAGGCAGTATCACTATGGAAGTAGATTGCCCAGCCTTCCTTCCGAGGAGGGGATGGTGGGTTTGAACCTCCAGCCTTCTGGTTAGTAGTCAAGTGCCTTAGGCACTACGCTACCAGAGCTCCCTTAAAACAAATATATACCTAATAAAATTAAAAAGTATCCAAGTACCTGCTAAAACCTCACTGAACACCATCTGCAATACGGGAAACACAGGCATGAAAGACCCTCAGATGAGGTGTTTGGAAACAGGGCTTGGGCCTTGCTCTGTGCCATGGGTTCCTCTTGGGGAAATTCAGGTCAAGTTTCATCCTTCCCCTTTATGATAATTGAGCGAGACTCACCCCCTCCCTCTCTCATTTCTGGGCAGTGCTTTTGAAGGGCTTCCCAAATCAAAGCTCAGGTGACTGGATTTTCAGCCTGGTCATGCCCCAGCTCCTCACCCTCTTTGCATGGTTTCACGTCCCCAAGGGAATGAAGCAGAGCAAAACTCTCAAAGGGTTTATAGGAGTGCTTCAAAGGAAAGGTGAAAGTATCCTTCTTTCTTTTTTTTTTTTTTAATTTTCATTGTGATTTGGGTGAAAGTTTTCAGAGCAAATTCATTTTTCATACAGCAGTTCATATACATTTTGTCTCATGATTGCAATCCCCCATAATATAACAGCTCTCTTCCCACTTCTTCCCTGTAGTTACCTCTTCCCTGTCTCCTTCCCTCTCATGTCCTTCAGCCCCCCCGCCCCTGACAGCTATCTCCCTGTACAAACACAGCCCTTCTGTTTTCCCATGATTGATTGCTCCAACCAGTATATCTACCTGAAGTAAATGTTCATCCCACATGCCTGTCTATTGTTTGGCTGAAAGCCACAGAATTGAGTTCAATTCCAGACCTAAAGGGGTGGCTAGAGGCCATAGTCTCAGGAGTCTCACCAGGCTCTATCTGACCAGGGTATTTTTTTTTTTTTTTTTATGATTTTGAATTTTTTTCTCTTTGTTCTCCCACTCTATCCAGGATCACCTGCATCAATCCCCCTCCGAGTGGCTGACAGTGGTAGCTGGGCACCATCTAGTTCTCCTGGTCTCATGGTCATATAGGTTGAGGATCATATGATCTACCAGTCCCTTGGACTTATTGTTTCCATGCATCTTTGTTTTTCTTCGTTCTTCTTTGCTTTAGATGAGGAGATACCCATCATTGCATCTAAATGGCTTCTTGCAAGCTTTTAAGATCCCAGTCACTACTCACCAAAGTAGAATGTAAGCCAGTGTTTTTGAGTAGTATGTTATGCCAATTGAGCTTGATGTCCCCTGTGACCATGGTCCTGAGCCCACAGATCCAATTACTCACTCCCTCTGGGTAGCTGGCTGTGGCCAACAAGCTTGCTCCTTGTCAGCTTTACTATACACCTGGACGTTCCACAGCACATACAAATATGCATATAGGAACATTGTCTGCTAGCCCTGTATATATATATGGTCATGGACACACTCTACCCTGGATAGATAGACCTAATCATTCACCCATAGATCAATGTTTGCCATCAGTGACAATGCAGTACTGTATGTACAAAAGGGTTCATCTTTGTTTTCTGTACCTCCCATGCACCTCTCTATGCCTTCCCCTTCCTCAGTGTCACCATGTTGATAGCTCATATTTGGTACATTAAGGCACCTTTCTTGTATACCTTTATGGACACAGATTTGAATCTCATAGACTTTTCACATGTCACAAATTATTCTTTTTTTTCAGCCACTTAAAAACATCAAAACCATTCTCAGCTTACAGATTTAGAACCTGAGTGAAAGTTTGCCAACCCCTGCTTCAGACATTGGTTGGTGTGTGAACTTCAGCATATTGTAATAGTGTTTACATTTTCTTCACCTCTGTAAAGATTTACAGCCCTGGAAACCCTATGGGGCATTCTACCCTGTCCTATAGGGCCACTATGAGTTGGCATCAACTTGATGGCAGAGGATTTGGTTTTGGTTTGGTAATAATTTGTACCATAAATTGACATGTATTGCTTCACATATTTCTCATAACTTCATGTAGGAGTTATTACTATTCACATTTTACCAGTATTGAAATTAGGTACTTTTCCCAAGGCCACTTAGCTAGTAAGTACTTGGACTCAAATCTTGGTCTTTTGCTCCAATTACTACAGTTATCATATCACATCAAAGGAAGCTACCTTCCTTTCTGGGGTCTGTACTGACCCCTATGGGCCTTCCAGCACTGAACTCAGTGGATCCTACTCAGACCCCAACTCATACGCATTGGAATCAACTTGATGGCAATGAGTTTGAGTATGGTTACTCAGACCCCAAGGCAAGTCTGGTAGTCCTTGTCTCTTTGGGCTTCTACTCAGGACACACCTACATCATGTGACAAGTAGGGGGCACAGTGAAACAGTGGAACAAACAACCAGGTGAATGAAGATGGAGGGTGCCACTAGATGGAAGTACAGTAAGGAGGTGCTGCCACCTCTCCAGCCACTGGGGGTGGTGATCACCCAGATGGCAGTATTACTCTCAGAATCTAATCTAAATCTATTGCAAAATGCCTCTGTCTACCCTGCCCCCTTCTGCAGCACCTACTTGTCTCCTTTCCTTCACCTTACTTGATGCCAGCCTTTAAACCCCAGGCTGGCTTGCTCATGGTTTCTGTCACAGAAAGATATAGGCTTTATATAACTGGACCCTGGATGCTGATCTTGGCAGCCAACCCCAATTGATAGTGGCCCTATGTGCAACAGAATGAAACACTGTCCAGCCTTGCACTATCCTCACAATCCTTGCTATTTGAGCCCATTATTGCAGCCACTGGGTCAATCCTTCTTGTTGAGGATCTTCTCCTTTTTCACTGACCCTCTGTTGTTGTTGTTGTTGTTATGTGCCGTCGAGTCGGCCCCGACTCATAGCAACCCCTCCTTGGGTTTCCAAGGCAGTATCACTACGGAAGTAGG